GTATTTTCAATATTTTTTTAAAAGAACCTGTTGCTAAATGAATATTGGGTTGTAATATTTTGGGTATTGTCGGGGGGGGGGGGGGGAATGTTTCCATTTTATGATTATCATCATTAAACATCACCCTAAACATCACTGTAAAGACAAATACTATAGATCTTTATATCCTTTCATAACTAAGAGAAAGCTCTATTTTGTCATGAAAGACAGAAAAACAATCTAATATTATATAATAAAAGTTAAACTTACCCAGCTCTGAAAAGCCAACTTGGGATGGTGAATTTTATTATATGTATAATTGTATTTTTTCACATAGCCATTTATACAGCAGAAGCTGGTCATACAGCATAATTTCTTTTCTATTCTATTCTAATCTATTCTATTTGAATTCAGATTTATTCTTTTTGAAATTCTAATTTCGGAAGACAGTTATATTCTTTCCATTTTATTCTATTGTTTTTCTATTCTATTGCATTCCACTCTATTCTAATCTATTATATTCTATTATTTTCAATTGTTTTGCTATTTTATCCTTTTCTGTTCTATGTTTTTATTTTCTATTATATTATTTTTTTATTCTATTTTCTAATCTATTCGATTCTTTTATGCTCTATTTTATTCTTTTTTTGTTCAAATTCAAGTCAAATTCAATTCGAATTCCAGCAGAATTAGATTTAAATTCAAATTTCATCCAAATTTCATTTTATTTTGGATACGTTACTATTGTAATTTGGAAATTCGGATACATCCGAATCTCAGAATAACGAAAAATGTGTCCAAATTTCAATTCGGGACGAAATGAACCACACATGTCCAGTCTATTTCCTTATACTAGTTCACAGTCCAGTTAAAACGTATCCACACTTGTGTTCCTATAAAGGCGTGCAGTAACTTTTACTCAACCAAGTGTGCCAGAGGGGCTGAGGTTGTCCTTGGAGTCAAGAAACAGAACAGAAAACCCAAATAACCAAGCGGCTCCTTCGGGGATAGCGCTACACATATTTTTTGATGGAGTTATGTTTTTAGCCCAAAGGCAAAACTATCACACATTTTAAAACACTGGCCGGCCTCGGCCAAACATCTCATGTCAGGCGGTCATCCCATCTAGGCATTTTCATAATAGGAAAATCAAGCTAGTATGAAATATAGAGACAGAGATAGAGAAAAGAGAGTGGTTTGGGTTAGAGTTCAGCATAAATATTTATTTCATACATTGGTGGCTTGGTATTTTTTTTTTTCTGTAGATGTTTGTAACAATTGTTCACTTGAGCAGACTTCTGATCTCAGCCAGGTTGCCACGTTTTCAGAAACTTTGCTTTGCTCTTTTTTGTATATTATTTTTATTTTAGTGTTTTTTCACAACTGGAAAAAAAATCAGTCCAAATCACAACTTTTGTCTTTTTTTTTTTCTTTCTTTTATATGAATTGGTGTATTTTTGTTTTTAGAAAGAGTAAATAGAAGAAATACACTAACAACCCAACTAAAGCCCACAGCATCGATTTTTTTGAAGTGCTATATTTTTTAAAATTATTTTTACACCTGGAACAAAGGGACATCCAGCAGGGCTGTGGGGGTTTCCCGTACCATTTGGGTGACAACAGCTTTTCTAGCAGTCTTCCAAAGGGCCAGAAATGGCTGACACTAACAGCAGCCAGCAGAGGGCATTATATGCGACATACCTGGAAGTGTCAAGCAGGGCTAATATCAGTGATGTAGAGAGATCACATGCTTCCCCTTTATATGGGAATATGAATCTGTATGTTGGAGAGTTGTAGCTGGGATCTCTGTGGGTCATTGAAAAAATAAAACAAATAATATTAACAAGCACGGGGATGCCAGCTGATATTTGAGGATCCCTGAGTGCCGGTTCACATACAGTATATGTGGATTGAATGCACATCCAATCCGCATGACGTGAAAAACAATTGCTTCCTATGGTGCCTGTTCACATATGTCCGGTGCACTGGCGGTGTGGATTCAGTGCAGTTTCTTCCTGTCCGGACACTTTTACCCCCTTCCTGTCCAGGGCAATTTTCAGCTTTCAGCGCTTTCACACTTTGAATGACAATTGCGCGGTCATGCAACACTGCACCCATATGAATTTTTTACCATTTTTTTGAGACAGATAAAGCTTTATTTTGGTGGTATTTATTCACTGCTGGGATTTTTATTTTTTTTTGCTATGTAAATGAAAATGTCCAAAAAAATTTTTTAAAAAAGTGTTTTTCTTATAAAATTTTGCAAATAAGTAATCTTTCATCATAAATATTGACCCCAATTTATTCCGTTATATTTTTAGTAAAAAAAAAATAAGCCAAATTAGTTTATAACCAAAAATTATAATTTTTAAACATTTTTTTTACATTTTTATTTTTTTTATATTATTATTTATGGGTTTTTTTTTTTTTTTTTTACACACTGTCACCCTAGCAGTACAGTGTCACCATGGTGGCACTGTACTACTTGTGGGGGTGATGAAGATTTTTTTTTTTTTTTTTTTACAGTGATTGCTTTTACACCCATATAGGATGTAAAAGCAATCATTTCTCTTTCTCTCTGTCTGCATTCTTGCAGCCATTGTCACATGGTACAAGGCTGTTGTGAATAGTCCTGTACCATGTGACCTCTGTGATCATTCACAGATTTCACACGTAGTAAGCAATGATGTCACAAGTGACATCTTGCTTACTACTTTGCATGTGATCACTGATTGGCCTGTCAGTGATCACATGATCAGGACCTCGTACAGAGGTCCCGTCCGACGATCGGTGTTTCACTGTGTCCGGAGGACACAGTGGGCACCGGATCGCGGTGCTGCGCGCGCTCCCAAGGAGCGCGCACAGCTAGAAAAGGTGGGTGCCGTTTATGAACGACAACCCGCCCCTGGACTGCCACCGCCCTGCCGTTTATAAACAGCAGGCGGACGGCAAGAGGTTAAAAAGAGTCATGTCCGATTTCTGAGCAGTGCGGTCCGGTTCAGGTGCGGATTACAGGCTGTTGACTTCTATGGGAACCATTTCTAAACCACATATGTGTGAACAAGATAAAGATCCTGAGCTAATCCTTTCCTGAACCTGATGTAAACGTGTATCTTTTTTAATGTATAAAACAGTCATTTCAACATATATTTTTACATATATTTGTAAATGCATTCCAAAAATGTAGATTTGTATTTGTAAAGACATACAGTATATTTGAAATGTATTTTTAAAAATATTTTTCATATATTTTGTAATAAAAATGCATTTCAACATGCAGTATACATATATATATTTATTGAAATATATTGAATACGGCTAAAATTGTAGCATTTTAAATATATGGCAATATATTTGGGAAGAATATTTTTTACATTTATTTCAAATATATTTTTCTTCTATGTGAGTGTACCAACATAACTATGTTATAAAATTCAGACCTTCAGCTTTAACATGTGTAACCAATCTTCCCCAAACATGCTTAAAGGTGTCATGGTCTTCAGTGGCATATGTAAGGAAATTTTCCTGGGCAATTTTTTGGAGCTCTGGGAGTCTAGTGCGGAGAGTCCAGGTCACTGGAGTCTGTGCACTAAACAAAAGAGGACGGAAGCCTCATCATTGGGTCCTCACAGACTAGAATGTTAGCTGTTAATAGAAATCCACTATATATTTAAGAGGATTGCAAAAGGGACCTGTGAGGTACTGAATATGGAAACTGTCATTATTGATACTTTGATCAAAGTGGAGGCTCCACCCCAATAATTTGATCCTTACTTCATAGTAACATGCTTAGCAAGGTTGAAAAAAGTCCATCAGGTTCAACCAAAACTGACCAGCTAGTTATACATTGTATAGTTTAACAGTTAATATTAGTATATTTTTGCATTTGCATTTTTTCTTGTGACACTGATGTACTATAAAAAAAATTTAACACTCTCACTCTGTACTTTCAAACGTGAGTAAATTAAAAGAGATTGCATTGCAACACAAAGCCTCACCCAATATTCCAATATTATATAAGAGTGCATTAGCATTAAAAGGCATTGTTTCTGTCATAACTACAAAGGTTTTCTGAGTTTTCTTTGCCAAACTGCGGTACTAAGTAATTATTTGCCTTCTAGAATGTCAGATTATGAATCAATGTGTTTCCATTATCTAGGGATTAGTAAAAACTAAGTATTGCCTATAATAACACAATTATCTGTATGCAGTAGTCTATTTAGGTTTCGTGCTGCCCTAGGCAACACAAAAATCCACACCCCCATCATGGAGCAGCCCTGACACGGACAAAAAAAACCCTCCCCCACGATAAGAGCCTGATATTGACCAACAACATCCCAGCCCCCCCACCCCACCCGAGAGAGCCTTCCACTACCACTGCCCCTCATACACTCACAACCCCCCACCCCAGCGATTGAGAGGACACTCACCTTCACAGCTCCGGACATCCCCGGGGAACAAGAGTCAGACTCTGCATACTCCATCAAGCAGCCCACAGCCTCTCTCAGATCCAACCTGGTCCCCATGCTGTGTGTGTCCTTTCTTCCATCACTTCTTTTGGGGGGGTTGTGCTGCCCCCCTGAAAAATGCTGCTGCACCCTGAAAAAATGCCACCCTAGGCAAATGCCTTGTTTGCCTTGTGGTAAATACCCCCTGTCTGTATGAGATGGTCAGAAACTGCGGGCATGCTGCAAGTGGCTGTCAAAGACTGTGGACATGCTATAAGAGTATCTGGAGACTGGGGACATGCTTCTGGAGACATTCGTATATGTTAGACATATTGCATGACACTGTTAGAAATCACTGCTATACCAGGACAATAAGGAACCACAGATTTGTGTCTGCAAGGGCCCTGAGTGCCACACAAAAAGTGGCAAAGGCTGCATGCAGTGTTCAGGCTGTGGGTTGGGCACAAGGGCGTTATGGTTTGGTACATCCAAAATATCACATGTATAGGCACATGTGCTACTAAATGTGTATTTTTTATACTGTTTAGAACACCCAAATGTCATGAGCCTATAGAAATAGTCCTTAAAACCACTTCCCGTCCGGCCCATGTACATAAACGCCTGGAGGGGAGCAGTGCAGGAGCAGGTGGCCATTTATAAACGGCCTTCAGCATTCACTGCCTGTGAGCGCTCCCTGGGAATTTTTACAGCCTTTATGGGTGTAAAAGCAATCAGTGTGAAAAAAGAAATCTTCATCACCCTCCACAAGTAGTACAGTTTCACTATGGTGGGACTGTACTGCTAGGGTGACAGTACGTAAAAAAACCCCATAAATAATAATATAAAAAAAAAAAATGTAAAAACAGTTTTGAAAAATGATCATTTTTGGTTATGAACTAATTTGGGTTATTATTTTTTTTTTTACTAAAAAGATAGCTGAATACATTTTGGCCAAGATTTATTAAGAAAGATTATTTATTTGCAAAATTTTATAAGAAAAACACTTTTTTTTCAAAGTATTTGGACTTTCATTTATATAGCAAAAAAATAAAAATCCCAGTGGTGAATAAATACCACCAAAATAAAGTTTTATCTGTCTTTAAAAAATGCTACAAAATTAATATGGGTACAGTGTTGCATGACCGTGCAATTGTCATTCAAAGTGTGATAGCACTGAAAGCTGAAAATTGGCCTGGAGTGGAAGGGGGTGAAAGTGGTTAAGAAAGATTCTGTGTATACAGTATGTTTTAAGAGGGGTTTTGAGTTAGGGCTTGGTATAAACAAGTAATTGTGGATCTAATATTGTGATCAGAAAACCACATCATCCAGTATTTCAATTGCCTATCATTTTTACAAACAGCATCATAATCAAGGTACCATTCACCTAGATTTGAAGGCACTACATCAGAGCCTATATATTCTAGTGCAGCTATTCCCAGCTAGATCTCTTCCAGAGGTTGTTAGGGGTTCCTTGAGCTGTGTCTGATTTCCTTCCCATTTGATGGTGTCGGCAAAGTTCCAGGACCAACACCACTTGGTAATGTCCGAAGCATGATAACAAATATGATTTTAGCTATCCAAATGGGTGGCATTCTGATAACAAGGTTGCCACCCATACGGATAGCTTCAGACTGACCCCCATAAATTGATATTAGCCGGAGTTCCCTGAGACCTAAAGATTATTTTGAGGGTTCCTCTAGGGCAGTGGTCTCCAAACTGAGGCTCTTTGCTTGCTTTTATCTGGCCCTTAGGGCACTATTTAATCCACTGACACCAATGAAATCCTCCCAATGATACCAACGATGGAGCACAACTTCTCATTAATGATACCAACAATTAGGCACAGTGTATCCCACTGATACCAAGAATGGGGCCCAATAACACCAATGATTGGGGCACAATTTCTCCCAATGACACCATCGATGGGGCACAGTTCATCTCACTAACACCAAAGATGAGACATTGTTTACTCCCACTGATGCCAGGACATTTTCCGGTCCGGCCCTCCTAAAGTCTGTAGGACAGTAAACTGGTCCTTTGCTTAGAAATTTTGGAGACCCCTGCTCTACGGTATATGGGTTTGGAAAGGATGTTCTAGTGGTTCAATATAACAATGTTGTATCTGGAACATTTGGAACATTGTAGCACCGTGATATACCAAACTAACTTCCCTACCCCAGCATGATATGACATCACTATGAAGGAAGTAAAACAGAAAGGACACAGACTGGAAAGGCAGCATTTAACAAAGATGAACAGTAGCATTTACTGACTTAACATTCCAAGAAATACCAGAAGATATCCAGGAAAAAAAGAAACAGATGTCCTATCATAAGAAATTGTAACTGCTAAACAACATACAATCTCAACTTTTCCATACATTTTAAGTACTTGCAATCCAGTTTGCCTATAATCCCAGTACTTGCTTCAATGAGAAATGTAGATTTTCTTAAGAAAAATTTTTAAATATTCAGGACAATTTTGGAATATTTTGTACCAAGAACCCAAGAAAACAATTCTTTATCTCCATGGAAAATATTACTGTATGTGAGGCAGAATTTGTACAAATAATCTAAGGCTTCTACACAACATTATGTGATTTGTACAGGGCTGAAACAAGGGGGCGGAGTCAGGAGGGGCAACACCCTCAAGCTGGGGGAGGGGCACAGCACACAAGGTGGTACATGCATCTACATCATTCATTTGCAGCAGGGAAGGACGACGCAATTCTACATCTTTGCCCTGGGAAGTGGATCATGGTGATCACTCCAGTTTTCCACAAAATGACCTCCTTGTCTTAGAGCACATGTGTTAAAACACAATGCCCATGAGCTGAGCCCGGCCCACCAGGCCATTTTATGTGGGCCTCACACCTCTCCTGCAGCTTTGGCACCTCCCCCCCCTTGTCACCGCCATCTTGACTCAGCAGTCAGCAGCAGACTGGAGTACAGAACTCCTTCATCAGATCCTGCACTTCTTCGTGCAGGCGTGGAGAGAATAGTCTTTGCTCCTCTCTGCCATCCCAGCAGCATAGAGGAGGATAGGACTCCTTCTACAGATCCTGCACCTCTCTGTGCAGCCATCCCCCTTCTTGTTTCTGCCTCCCCTGGTTTCAGCATTCACCAGACTCTGGCAGCTGACTCCAACTCTCTTCTAGTCCCTGAACTTTCTGCTTCCCAGCTCCACACCCAACTTCTTCCTGGCAGCATCACAAGATAAGGGGGGTGCACTGTGATGTAAGGGAGGGTGGGGGACTCTTGACTTCTGATGGTGGGGGCTCTCGACATCTGATGTGGGGGGGGGAGGGTAGGTGCTCTGGACATCTAGACTTACAGATACAACTGGCCCTTTGAGGGCAACCATCATGCTGATGCATGGACAATGAAATTTATGACACCCCGCCTTAGAGGTTAAAATGACAATGTATAGGAAATCCCGGTTCTAGCTAGGATTTAGAAATGCAGGTTCAGAATTGGAAGAATTCTAGCTTAATAAAACTGAAATGAAACAGAAGCATTGTTATTAGGCAACCTACAGCTAACAAAATGTTAATAAAACCAGCACCATTATGCATGACTGTTGGGGGACATACCTTGCTCTACTCAAGCTCTGTGCTCAACGTTTGGGTAGTTTTTAATGAAATTTTAACATTTAGAAATCAAGTGTCAGATGCTTTTCAATCCTTACTCTTCCATAGGAGAATCAAAAAAAAGTTAAGCACCTCCTTGTCCCCAAAGAGCTAACAAAATCTTATATATGCAGGTGCTATCAAAAAAGTCCCCCAGATTCTATGCTTGACTGTTGGTGGGTATAACTTGCACAACTCTCTGTGCTCAACCATTGGACGTTGCTTGACTGAAGTGTAACATTTGGAAATCAGGTGTCAGACGCTTTTATATCCTCCAAGCAAGAATAAAGCAAGAGTTGAGTGTCTTATTCTACCTTAAGACCTAAAAAAAATAACAATTTTACATATGCAGGGCTATCAGAAAGTCTCCAGGTCTTATGCTTTACTAATATCACCAGCTGTTATGGGTAGATTATGATGGCCAACTTGCTAGCACTGTTCTCTTTCTCTGAATATTGGGGAACTGGGTTCTTTTCTGATTAGATCTGTAAAACAATGTATATGCCCCTGCCTGATTTTGGTCTATGACTTACATCTAAAATGATGCCTATTGTTTAACTGGTCTAGTGGGGCCTGCAAATATAATATCAATTTGATCATCCTTATTTTTAAAGTGCTTATACATTATTAAGCATTATATAATAAAAAAAAAAAATAAGAGATCCACAGTTCCGTAAGGGTGTGGATTCAAGGACTCTCATTTTCATTTTTCCACCAATTCCAGACCTTTTAGATTTCACTGTCTGCATGCTTATTTCCAGGCTAGTGAGGAAGACAAGATTAGAACACCCTTTAAACACAAATCAGCAGCAGCTTCTCCTAGAGTATATTTCCATTAGATTCACTTTTAAATAGACTGGTGAATAGCTACACTGGAGTAGATCATTCTCTAAACAGTCACGAACACGACAGGGTTGAAAACTGTTGAATTCTTGGACTGCCAGCTGAGACTTGAAATTCTCATGGACTTGGTTTTGTGACTCTGTCAGCATTTGTGCGCATTGCATATCATAGAGTTTGAGACCATTTGATGCACCTGTTTCCAATATATCTGCAGCTGTTACCAATTAACTTACTGGCCCCAATGCTCTGCCTTTCAGGCCTATCTGTACTCATCCTTCTCGATATGTGACATTCTGTGGAGCTCCATGGAGTGCTATTTCCAGCACCTTTTCCTGAGTTCTGGATCTGTCACTTGGATCACTTTAAGCTTGATTTGTCCTCCAATGTCATCCCCAATGATTCTGCCAAGTTTTGCAGCAATATAGCTATCAAATATCTTTGCAACAATATAACCATTGTTATATGAATACATTGTTACTCAACCAAATGTGAAGGACAGATTATATTAGATTCCTACGCATTTGAACACAATGAGTGCAAAAAAAGTCACCAGACCAGACTGATCACAAAGAGTGCCAACACTAATAAACACCAAATCCTTTATCTTCAGCATATATTAATAGTCCTGTCATCCTTCTTGCAACATAAGCTAGTTCTAGAAATGGTAAACAATCTACATAAAGCAGACCTTCACCCTAATGTTCTCATACCCTACCTGCTCTCCCCCAACTCTGTCCTTAAATTGGATCTTTTTTGATTATTTTTTTCTCAAACATCACATGTGCACATGTACGGTTTCCATGCCTATGCGCATAGATGGGTAGCTCTGAAGTCTAAAAATGTCCCCTTTCTAGTGCAGACGTGGGAAATATCTTGTGCATACACAATTGTGCCAAGCGAGGGGGTTTGCTAGGATCTGACAGCCGGGCAGAGCCCAATGGCACATCTGCACAGCCGGCGGGGGGGGGGGGGGGGGGGGGTCAAAGGACTTAAGTTCCTTTTTAAACACACACGTGCAAAGGCATTAATTATTATTATTATTATACAGGATTTATATAGCGCCAACAGTTTGCTCAGCGCTTTACAATATAACAGGAGTCAATACAGCAACAATACAGTTCAATACAAGAGGGATAGGAGGGCTTGATCCTGGGAGCTTACAATCTAGGAATGATAGCAGCCTTTACCAAGCTCATCGGCCACATGTTTGGTTAGGTGACAGT